TTACTACCTACATCAGAGGCAAAAAAGTGACTTGAGGATACCCTCGGGGCAGAAACTTCTACAACCTAACCAATTAAGTCATGTTGCAGAGAGAGAAACTAAGTAAAAGCACTGAGTTGCTTTGCTTGATTTCCCGTGTTTGCTTTCCTTTTGTCTCGTTTCCTTGGTTCTGGATTTGCCTTTGCCTCTGAACTTCTGACTGTGTGCATTGGTGTGTCCTCTTATGATCATTCATTTTTGGACCAAGCCTGGAGTTACATTATTGTTACTGGCCCAGATTTTATATCTGTCTCATTTCATTCCACTTTGCTATAGTTTAGAACATATCATTTGACCTGTAAATAATTCCTGACTATGGCTTTAAAAACTGAAAGTAGATCAATGGAGACACTGAAAATTTTAACATTTTGACTGCTTTCTCAGTGTAAAAGTGGTCTGTGTTTAGCTTAAAATCTGCATTTTTTCCCCCTGTGGGCTCTGGTTTTTCTGTGGGAAAGCTCTGTGCCTACAATTTATTATTGAGGAGAAAACCTGTTGCTTTTATCGGCTATTCCTTGGTTTACTTTTTTTCCAAAAGGATCTTTTTTTAAATGTTTATTTATTTATTTTGAGAGAGAGAGAGAGAGAGAGAGAAGCACAAGCAGGGAGAGGAGGGTGAGAGAGGGGAGAGTGAGAATCCCCAACAGGCTCCATGGTGTCAGCACAGAGCCCAACACAGGGCTCAATCCCATAAACTGTGAGATTGTGACCTGAGCTGAAATCAGGAGTCAGAAGTTTAACCAACTAAGCCACCCAGGTGCCCCCGAAAGATCTTCTTTTTAATGAACTTCGTTTAAATGAACTTCTGCTTTCAGCTTTTGAATACCATCTTAGATGCTTCCTCAAGGCTGCCTGCTCTCCCCAGCCTCCTGTGTTCACTGGCAGTCTTTGATGCCACCCTGGGAGGCAATGAACTTCATGTGCCCTTTGCTTTGTACTCTAGTTTTTTAGCTCCTGCTTTGATGCTGTTTGGTTGCCTGGACCACTTTGCTTCTATCTTAAAGCAGGTTGACACATAAGCAACCAGAAACTTAATACTGTTTTACTTGCTATGGATTTGCTGTGTTTGGAAATCAATTCCATGGAACCGATCCATGGTCTATTAATTAGTATTCTCTGAGTAAGAGAGTTCTCGGATCAAATGGTTTCCACATCATGATTTACTTGTGGGGACTTTTAATAAATACTGTAATTTATATTTATATATTTAAATATACTAAATGATCAGAGAAGTCTTGCAGAAACAAGACCTGTCAGATGAATTGTACTTGTTTTCTAAATGCAGTTGTCCTTGCACCCTTTTTTCTGTAGAACACCTGCTCACATCTCAAGGGTCACCAGTTTTTGATAGAAGACATTTTGGGAAATTATGTTCTTTGAATGTGTACCATAAGTTAACAGTCTTTCTGATTCACATCTCCAACAATAAGCTTTTAGGGGCGCCTGGATGGCTCAGCCAGTTAAGTGGCCAACGTCAGCTCACGTCATGATCTCATAGTTTGTGGGTTTGAGACCCGCATCAGGCTCTGTGCTGACAGCTCAGAGCCTGGAGCCTGCTTCAGATTCTGTGTCTCCCCCTCTCTCTCTGCCCCTTCCCTGCGTGTGCTCACTCTCTTTGTCTCTCTCTCAAAAATAAATAAATAAACACTAAAAAAATAAGTTTTTAAAAGGTTAATTCTGACTTAAACAACGGTCACCACGTTTATATTATTTTAGATAGAAGATGTATAATGTCAAAGGATTATCTAATTAAAACCAGGCATGTAGTGAATAAAAAAATATTTGACAGGAAGTTATAAATGTCTTAGGAATCAAACGCACTTAGTAGTATGAACTAATTCCATTACTACTATGCATTATCTTTGATTTTCCTATTCTTTTTGTCTGGCTTGGGTTTCTGTATAAAACTGATGCTAGGACATTCTACAGTATTTTTAAAAAGTATAAGATGTCCTGGCCCTAATATTTTGAGTTTGATATATAGAAAGGGCAAAGTTTGGATCAGTTAACTTACCATTTTTGGTATAGACTGAGAGTTAATTCTAAGAGTTTCAAGATACAGTAAGATAATTCTATAGTGTGGATACTTTACTATATTATTAGATTTTTGAAGAGGGCAAAATAATATTCATGTTAAACAATCATGATTTAAGAGGTCTTAGATATTTACCTTTTAGAATAGAGTTAAAATAAATATTTTTCCTTTCTTTTTCTCATCTTGAAATAAAACAATTTGCCATATGTATTTTTATAAATGAATTATTTTGATTCTCACCTTAAACGAAACTCAATGCCAGTTAACTATTTCTTTTCAACTCAGTTAAATGAAACCTAATGGTGCTATCTTTTTCAATATTTTTTTAAATTTGCAGTGCTCGAAAAGTTCCTACATATAAAAGAAAATAGATGACCTTAGGGATTATAGAATTTATTCAAATAAGTAAAATAATTATTTTATTGAGTATCGGATAGATGGATGGAAATTGCATCTGCAAATGAATTAAATAATTGATACTATGATATAAAGTCAGGTTTAACTAGAGTTTCTATGTGAAAAGTTCTATAACTTTAGAACTGTGAAAAGTTCTAAAGTTTCTATTAAGTCTTTATTGATTTAATAATAATAAGGAATTGTCTTTTCAACCTACCAGCATCTTCTGAAACCGTTCTTTGCTTTATTATCTCAGACATGTTTGCATTTTAAAACAGGGAAACCAGTTACCTATGAAATCTTGCCATCATTTTTCTTTATAAGCCCTTTGGTCTGGGCATCTTTTGAGAGGTTAATTCCACCCAACATGTAGACTACCATTGCTGCTTGGAGTAGCAGAGTTACTCATTCAATTATATTTCTTTGCCCTGCTGTGGTTGGCTGATCACTCTTAGTAGTTTAAAGGAACAGTAATTTTTGCCTCAGAGTCTTTGAGGCAAAGTCGAAGTACGTCACGACACAGGAAACTAAGGCAACAGAATGATATTCCAGCTGTAATAACAAATGCAAGTGCTCTCCCTTGGAGGGAAACGAATTGGCATGCTGCCCACGTTCACACTTGCATTCCTTTGAAGTGAATGGGACCGCTCAGAAGGACTCAGACACAGTTTCTCTGTCTGTCTTTCCCTGTGTTGCTTTAAGCCAAATCCATAGGTGAGATGAATCAGCTGTTCTGGACAACAGCTATACCCAAAGGTCTGCTTCAGTGAGCCGTTTTTAATGTGCTGCTTGGGAAGGATGGAAGAAAAAGAGCACGTTATTTCTTAACAAGAACTTGAAATGCCATTCACTTAACAAGCATCATTGATACATGCTATGTAACTGGTACTTTGAGTCTTATGCTTTTAAAACTTGTTAGGGGGGCAGATAGTGCAGGAATGGGGTGGAGGAACTTATGTTCCTATAGTTATTTTTAGATTTGACTTTACTGACCTTGCCAGCCTAGACAATTAAGGACAAAAACCTATTCTCACGTCCACCTTACTCTTTTCAGTCAGATAAAAGTCATTTTCCCTCTCTTTTTCAAGTAGCTCCTATAGGGATTTGGCCTAGTTACCTCAGCAGCAATTTTAGATTTAGAGTGACAAAAATTGTTATGTCTGATTTGGCCATTTTTCCCATGACTAATTTTTCTTGTTTTAGAAAGCTATCACACACTCAGAGAGACTAATGGCTCTATTCATTTTAAACAATTGCTTGCTACATCTGGATTTAGTCAGGTGAGGATCTGAACCACGAGAGCTCTGGAGTCCCCATTGTGTAATATATCACAGACTCAGAAACAGGACCCGCGGCTGCTGCCATGATGGACTATCAATATTTTAGCTTCTTCCTCTCTGCCGCATTTTATATTCCTGCTGAATTAGCTTAGGTATTCTCTAATTCTGCCTCCGTCTTTGAGCCACTTGTACTCAATTGCAGAAAGCATCATTTGATTCGCATTGAATTTATTTTAGCCAGTTGTTTTGTTAACTACCCAAGTACCAACTTAACAAACTCTCTGATGTTTCCAGAATATTTTATTGTGATGTGTTAAATTATGATGAACATATTCCTTGCACATTGGGCCTGGTGATGAACAACGTAAATGTTCAGCCTTTCTTTGTTAATCAAAAAACAAATGTAAGAGTCTCTCAAACCTCGTTAGCACCCCTGCTAGCACGTGTAGTATCTTTGTGAGAATTAGTAAAAGGACAGACAGATTGCAAGAGGTATCCACTGTGAATAGAGTAAGTAGAAAACAAAAAGTTGCCTCTTCCTCCGGGAGACTTTGGCCACTTTGACCAGCTGAGTGGGAGCTGATATTGGCCTCTGTTCACTCTGAGCCCATCTGACCTAACGATCACGCAGTCTCGGCAGCCCTCACACGTTACAGCATTCCATCTTGCTTCTGTCTCTTCGAATCTTCATACCCTAGAGTTTTTCTTGTTTTGTTGTTTAATCTGATAGGAGTGAATCCGTTTTGATGGTAACCATATGTGAGAAGGATGGTCTGAGAACTAGTGTTTGATTTCAGGTTGAACAAAGTGAAAAGACCTTGGTGACATTTCAATACAGTTTCCCTTGCCAGCATGCAGTGCTAAGTACATTGCAGGCTTTTCACTGAAGGGAAAACTCATTTCCCAGATTGTAGTCCAAAGAATCCATTGGAAAGGTCTGTTCATTTTAAAGAATTTATCGTAACTTATTATCAAATGATTGCTTCTATACATCCATAAGCCATAAAAGTACTCGTCTGATAATAAAGTTAATATATATGAATTTTTCTGGTATGTCTTATTTCATATTATACATGGATAGTACTGAAATTGAGTAACTATTAATTCTATTGCCTTAAAGTATCAGAAGCTGCTACTTTACCATGAAAAAAGGATTATATCCTTCTATCTCACCCCACCCACCCATAGACTGGACAGGAATGAATCATTAAACTTAGAGCGTTTTTTTTTTTACTCTCTTCTTATTTTAGGTGATGTTTTCCACATCACTGCTCCCAATAAATTTACCTTTGAGGAGGCTGAAGAAGAGTGTGAAAACCAGGACGCCCGGCTGGCGACAGTGGGGGAACTCCAAGCGGCTTGGAGGAATGGCTTTGACCAGTGCGATTATGGGTGGCTGTCCGACGCCAGCGTTCGCCACCCTGTGACTGTGGCCAGGGCCCAGTGTGGAGGTGGTTTACTTGGGGTGAGAACCCTGTATCGTTTTGAGAACCAGACAGGCTTCCCTTCCCCTGATAGCAGATTTGATGCCTACTGCTTTAAACGTAAGTGTTTGCTACCTTTTTAAAAATTACAGATTTTTTAAAAATACTTCGAAGACATGCATTGATGTTCAACTAGCGATGGGAATGGATTCCATGTCTTGCTGTGTGTGCACAGAACGGAAACAGTTCGGTGACTTCCGAAGGCAAATAAATGGAACAGCAGCGATATGGTTAAAACAGCAGGAAGTTTGACAAATGCTTTTTTCGAGGTGATAAGGAAATGTCAGGTTAAAGTCCTAACCGTGCTTCCATTGCACCTAGAAACACAGAACACATTTCTGATTAGTTTTTTTAAAATATTAATTGCAGTCCTTAAGTGTAATTAGATGGTTAGTGTTATATCGTTGAGGTAAACTATAGCTGAGTTGAATCCTCCAATCCTGCTTCTTTTGTCTTTGTTTGGTATGTGTTTCTTTGAAATGGCGGAGAATTGAAATTTCATAATTGCAGGTGAGTACTTGGAACGGAGATGGATAACCATAACATTCAATTAATACCTAACAAGGAACCATGCAATAAATAAAAATGTCCATTTATTTTATTTCAGGTCATGGAAATATGTGCTTTCTAGTTATTAATCCTTTAGCATCGTATTGAAGTACAGTATATATTGTTTGCAAGGTATAACTCAGTTCCGTTTGCTACTTAAAATTGATCTTAAGAAATACTTCTCCATATTCATGATATAATTATCTAAAATTTTCAGATGTCCTTAAGTTACTTTAGCGGTAGTAGCCACATGGTATAGTATCATGCTTGTAGAATGTGCTTGATCAAACAAGCAAGTAATCCAGAGTTTCCTTTTGACTTTTACTGGTCTATATTGTGATGGCAAAACAAAAATTTCCTAGAATTTGGGGTAAGTATATTCAAAGTGAAACCATGTCCTATTGAAATATAAGGAAAGGTTTTTACTAAGTTTCCAATATATCTTGTTTTAGCAATATGTAACTGAAACGAATAGAAAATATGCTAGCTTGTTATGTAATTGGTTTCTAAAGTGAAACACACAGACATTCTTTGTCACCCAAAAAGTCGTTCTAGGATGTCTGAATCATCGCAGAATAGACATTAGTGCGATGGTAAGGCACTGACATGCTGCTGATGCCCTGCTAAGGTGCCTCTGCCCAGAACGCCTCCCACTAACTCCATTTTCTGAGTGTGAAAGTCATGTTTTGTGTATCTGTGTGATACAAGCTGGCTATACAAAGCGATTGAGAATACTAACTTTTGTTCCTGAACTCTGAAACAACAGAGAAGGTCTTCCTTAGTTATTTTCAGGGCAGGAAAAAAAACAATAATAAGGAAAGCCTATCTCTAAAAATAGAAAGATAATACATTTTTTTAAGCCACAGTCTCTTAACAGTGACTTTCAAGCAGTTTAAACCCTCAAATCAGTTTTACATTAAGTGACTATGATTAAGAACTGAAATCAGATTGCTGTTGGGATGTTTAATTAGGGAAGAAGTGAAATTATCTGACTTGACTATCTTGTTAGGTTGTATTTTCTCTTGCTTTATAAAACTGGCAAGAGAAGATTTTTAAACAACCTTTTTTTTTTCTCCCTGAAGATAAAACTTAAACCAAAGCCTGTCTGTAGCCACAAAAAATTCATCCTGATGTGGTTTAAAATATCTATTTAAATGAGGAATTCACATGAATGTATGAAATAATACCCTTATATTCAAATGCAATAATCAGCTACCAAAAATCTATATAAAATCTGAGAAAAGTTTGAAAATTTATGTCCAGTTTTTTTTTTCTTCTAATTCCTTTGAATTTATATAACTTGGAAATATATAACTTCCAAATAACATGATTCAAATTTTGGGTTTTTTCCCAAACCAAAGGCTAATCTAATCTAATCTAAGGGTTAGATTCTTGTTTATTTTTTCCCTAAAACCTACTATATTCAAACTTGATTCATCAGATAAGAGATTTAGAAGGCTTAGTCATAACATAAAAATCTTTCCTAATCTTTTTAAAACTACATGCTATGCCAACAGCTTCCCCAAATTTCTAAATCTTTTTTCAAGGATTCTTTTAATGTATATTTTTTAAAGAATGTAAAAAATACTCTCAAAATGACTTGACTGCTGTTCACTTTTCCCACACAGTTGGGTGGTGACTAAGTTCGTAGGGTAAAGTTTGTAAGAGCTGTGACCTTAGCAACAATTCCAAAAGTGATTCCAGAGATGTGTAGCTGTTTGGTCAAGCAGAGGAATTTAGAAGTATAACCATATTTTTCTTGTTTGCTTTTTACTAATATACATGGTGTTTTTAAGCCACTTCCTGGTGAATGAACAATACTAAAACCTCACCTTGCTATAATTCTTTTTTCCTTTGAACATCACTGAATAGAAGGTTAACAATGGCTGATGACAAACATAATTAGAATCTATTCATGTTGAGTAGATTAAAAACACTGCAAATTAATAGATTCACAAAATAAAATTTTCCTGTGTATTTCCCTGTGACAATTAAACTAAATTGTGCACTTTTGATTTTTCTTTGACCTCAGAGTTAAGCAAGTTCTGTGAAAGTTAGAGACTTAAGACTTTGACAAATCACCCATATACCCCCAAATTTGAGTGAATCAAAGCCATTCAAGACTCATGATAATCTCTCATGTAAATATTATTAATGATCTCTAAGCCAGGGAGATACAGTACATTTCCTAGAAAACCCATTCTAATATCCTATTACCATCCTCCTCAGATAGTTTTTCTAATTACCTGAATTCGTTGCATTGGGCATGGAGCCCATTTTTCCTTTTTAAGTTGATGACCAAAATCTAAATAATGGCCCTTTCTATTATTGAACACAATTGTTCATTCATCCTTCAGCATCTTCCTCAATGGAAACAATTTCCTTGTTTTGAAATCTTAATTTCTAAGCTTCTGGTCATCTATGTGATCTTGCTTTGAACCTTCATTATTTTTTATATCCCTCTGTTTGATTAAGCAAGGGAGCTGGAAATTATGGTTTGGAGAAAGCAAAATAAGTTCTCACTACTTCATATGCTACTTTTTTACTTATTTGTTCACTTTTAAAAGTGCCCTACCCTTCTAATCTATAGGGTGCTTCTTATTTTCTTTTTTTTTTTTTTTTTTTTTTTGTGCCCTCAATTGTTATCTGTTTTGGGGCACCCAACTAATCCTTCCCTAAATGGCATTTTAAGTATCTTTTCTGTTTATTGAATTTCAATCTGTTAGCATTCAATCACTCACTCAGAAANCTCTCTGTCTGTCTTTCCCTGTGTTGCTTTAAGCCAAATCCATAGGTGAGATGAATCAGCTGTTCTGGACAACAGCTATACCCAAAGGTCTGCTTCAGTGAGCCGTTTTTAATGTGCTGCTTGGGAAGGATGGAAGAAAAAGAGCACGTTATTTCTTAACAAGAACTTGAAATGCCATTCACTTAACAAGCATCATTGATACATGCTATGTAACTGGTACTTTGAGTCTTATGCTTTTAAAACTTGTTAGGGGGGCAGATAGTGCAGGAATGGGGTGGAGGAACTTATGTTCCTATAGTTATTTTTAGATTTGACATTACTGACCTTGCCAGCCTAGACAATTAAGGACAAAAACCTATTCTCACGTCCACCTTACTCTTTTCAGTCAGATAAAAGTCATTTTCCCTCTCTTTTTCAAGTAGCTCCTATAGGGATTTGGCCTAGTTACCTCAGCAGCAATTTTAGATTTAGAGTGACAAAAATTGTTATGTCTGATTTGGCCATTTTTCCCATGACTAATTTTTCTTGTTTTAGAAAGCTATCACACACTCAGAGAGACTAATGGCTCTATTCATTTTAAACAATTGCTTGCTACATCTGGATTTAGTCAGGTGAGGATCTGAACCACGAGAGCTCTGGAGTCCCCATTGTGTAATATATCACAGACTCAGAAACAGGACCCGCGGCTGCTGCCATGATGGACTATCAATATTTTAGCTTCTTCCTCTCTGCCGCATTTTATATTCCTGCTGAATTAGCTTAGGTATTCTCTAATTCTGCCTCCGTCTTTGAGCCACTTGTACTCAATTGCAGAAAGCATCATTTGATTCGCATTGAATTTATTTTAGCCAGTTGTTTTGTTAACTACCCAAGTACCAACTTAACAAACTCTCTGATGTTTCCAGAATATTTTATTGTGATGTGTTAAATTATGATGAACATATTCCTTGCACATTGGGCCTGGTGATGAACAACGTAAATGTTCAGCCTTTCTTTGTTAATCAAAAAACAAATGTAAGAGTCTCTCAAACCTCGTTAGCACCCCTGCTAGCACGTGTAGTATCTTTGTGAGAATTAGTAAAAGGACAGACAGATTGCAAGAGGTATCCACTGTGAATAGAGTAAGTAGAAAACAAAAAGTTGCCTCTTCCTCCGGGAGACTTTGGCCACTTTGACCAGCTGAGTGGGAGCTGATATTGGCCTCTGTTCACTCTGAGCCCATCTGACCTAACGATCACGCAGTCTCGGCAGCCCTCACACGTTACAGCATTCCATCTTGCTTCTGTCTCTTCGAATCTTCATACCCTAGAATTTTTCTTGTTTTGTTGTTTAATCTGATAGGAGTGAATCCGTTTTGATGGTAACCATATGTGAGAAGGATGGTCTGAGAACTAGTGTTTGATTTCAGGTTGAACAAAGTGAAAAGACCTTGGTGACATTTCAATACAGTTTCCCTTGCCAGCATGCAGTGCTAAGTACATTGCAGGCTTTTCACTGAAGGGAAAACTCATTTCCCAGATTGTAGTCCAAAGAATCCATTGGAAAGGTCTGTTCATTTTAAAGAATTTATCGTAACTTATTATCAAATGATTGCTTCTATACATCCATAAGCCATAAAAGTACTCGTCTGATAATAAAGTTAATATATATGAATTTTTCTGGTATGTCTTATTTCATATTATACATGGATAGTACTGAAATTGAGTAACTATTAATTCTATTGCCTTAAAGTATCAGAAGCTGCTACTTTACCATGAAAAAA